CTCCAACCTGTGTATTATCCTGCTGGTACTGATCAGATGTATACCTGTTCTTTTTGTGCAGAAACGTGTGCGTCGCCGCCTCAGTCGCGGCTCGTCTACTGTTACCCGGTTCGCCTTTCGATCCCGACCCCCACCTTGCCCCGGGTGGAGCTGCACTTTGAGAACGACATGGCATGTCTTCGCTTCAGAGGAGAGATGCTGAAAATTAACAGAGGACACTTCAGCAAGCTGGTTAGCTATGTTTTCTGAATACTACCGTTAATACTCCTCAGTAATCCGAGTGGAACGAACAGCATAACCTTGGTTGGACCAGGGAGACCTTCCTCATGCGAGGTCGGTTAATGACGAGTAGATTTAGGCTCTGGTCACAGTGCATGTAATGTATTCATGCTTATTTCTGACTTTGAGCTGAAATCCGGTGGGTTTTTTCCTCTGGGTCGTTTTGAGGAGTTTAAATTGACCTGCGTTGCAGAAGAAGAAGGTAGATGTCAAACAGCAGCGTTGTTTACAGAAGTAATAACGGATGTAACTGTCATTAGAGGTGTTCAGTAAAGCTTTAAGCAAACCCTGCCACCAGGAGAGCTTTTGTTGCATTCTTTAGAAACTAGAGTTGATCAGTTTGAAGTCTTTCCGATTCCAGGTCTTCATTCTGATTTTTTTTTTGGAGACGGGGTAAAACGTGCTCCTCCTCTCCATGTTCACACCTATCCTGCCTATCTCTACCTGTTCCCACCTGCCTTGCCTTTCCTTACCTGTCTCTCTCATCTCATCTGTCTATGCTAGGAGTTGCTGTACAGGTACAGCTGTATTGATGACTCTCGGTTTGAGAAGTTCCTGGCCAGAGTTTGGTGCCTCCTCAAGAGATACCAGGTGAGCTGACTCCGCGGGCCCAGCGTCGGTATGTGTTTGCAGTGATGCCTTGGTTAACCAGGTGCTTGTTTCTCTAGGCAATGTTTGGCAGTGGAGTTCATGAAGGGACCGGTTTACAGGGGGCGCTGCCGGTGGCGGTATTCGAGGCGTTGAATCGACACTTTGGCGTCACCTTCGAGTGTTTCGCCTCGCCGCTTAACTGCTACTTTAAACAGTTCTGCTCCGCCTTCCCTGACATTGATGGCTTCTTCGGATCCAGAGGGTGAGACGGCAACTGGGATCGGGTTATTGGGGCAGGGAACTTCTTCGGGACTCCTCCAGTGTGTCTGTGAATGTCTGTAGGTTTCCCATGGTGCTGATGGTCTGTAACCAGTCTGACTAACTGGTGTGTTTCAGGCCCTTCCTGTCCTTCAGTCCAGTCAGTGGCTCATTTGAAGCCAATCCTCCATTCTGTGAGGAGCTGATGGACGCCATGGTGACCCACTTTGAGGTGAGACCCAATTCATTCTGTGTTATCTTGGTCTATTCTGGATGCCGGTCTTAATGGTTTGGGTTCTCTTTTAGGAACTGTTGAGTCAGTCTTCCGAGCCTCTGTCCTTCGTCGTCTTCATCCCTGAGTGGCGTAACCCAGTGACTCCGGCTCTGACCCGGATGGAGGCTAGTCGATTCCGCCGCCACCAGCTGACCATTCAAGCCTATGAGCACGAGTACCGCTCTGGGAGTCAGCACGTCTGCAAGCGGTACTGGTTCTACCTCACTAATACTGTGTTCTGGTTCTGATCTGACAGAACCAGGCTGTCTAAGAGGAAACGGTTATTAAACTCTTTAAGGACGCGTATGAAGTCCAACATAATTAATACCGCTGGCAGATTTAGCTTTTAAGTTTTTAACTTAATGAGAGTGGGCTGCTTCGGCTTGTCTGAAAGATTTTCCATTTATACATCCTCTTATCGATTGTTCTGTTTTCAGGGATGAGATGTACTACCGGGCCGTTCATGGTACCGCGGTGATTTTCCTCCAGAATGACGCCGGATTCGCTAAGTGGGCTCCGACACCAGAGCGTCTGGCGGAGCTGAACGCGGCCTACCGCCCCACTCTGTCCCGCACTTCCTCACTGTCCACACCGGGTCCCGCCCAGTCGGCTTCCGGAGACAGAGACTCCACCCCTAAGGCCTCTGATAGGACACAGAGTGGTATGATGTCACCTGGTGGCCATGACAACAACAACAACAATGGCAGCAGCAGCAGTAGTAGCAGCAGCCCTCAAGACAAGCTCACTGCTCCGTAGAGGGGCGTGGTCTGCAGTGACCACGCCCCCAATGTAAATGTGTGTTTACAAATGTCCTTTGTTCCTCTCACAATGTCCCTCACCAGCACCTGTAGCACATCCTCACCTCTGATCGATAATCTACCACCGCCATCAGGGGGCGGAGCCTCGTTCCAACTGCACTACATCTTTTTAGTTTGTTGGCTGCTCTGATTGGTTGAAGCTCATCTCAGAGTGATGTCAGTATGGATAGATAATAGGAAGCAGCTGATTCAGAGCACCAGCAATAAAATCCCACCTGGGAGAAGACCCCTGATTGGTCCATTCTCCCCTCAAAGGCTGGTGATTGGTTGTCATGGCAGCTATCATTTCTGGGACTCGTCTTTGTTTGACTCAAATGGAATCTCATCTCCTCACCGTTAAAACCAAGCTGGGTTCTGAGTAGTTGAGAACAGAGTAGTTGGGGCCACTGCCTCAGAGGGGCGGGGCATCAAGTACATCTTAGGCTCGTTTGTCCATCCTGCCTTCTAATCAGAATAATCATTTTTTATTCCCAATCGTTTTCATAATCAGATGAGTTCTGACCCTTTTTATGAGTTTTACACAGATAAGATCTGTTTCGGGGGGGGTTCAGTTTTGTCCAGTTAAATCAAATGGACTCTAATCTAGGTCGGTCCCATTTAGCACTATTTAACTTCATCTGTTTTTCTTTGACACATTGAAATCTGTTTGGTTCTGGTTTGATCTAGTTTAACTTGGTTAGACCTAATCTGATCTTGTACTTGTTTCTCTATTCGCTCTGTTCTGGTTTATTTTGCTAATCTGTAATAGGAAAAAAAAATGTGAAACAACTGACTCCTACTTGTCACCGCCGGTGGCTGAGTGCTCTCTGATTGGCTGGTGGTGGACCTATCAGACTCCTGTCTGTGTGTAGATACTGTACAGCTGGACTGGTCTGAGGTCTTGGTGTTTGTTTTGCTGTTGAACAGTTTTTAATTTGTTCTAATTTAACCTTTTTAAGCAATGAAATGTTGATGTTTTCATTCTCACTGTTTATTTTAACCAAACCAAAGTGTTTTATGATGTATATGAGTGTGTACAGTAGAGCTGTGTATGACTGACAGCTGGGATCCTTCTGCTCTCTGCATGAAATCAGTGGACTCTGATCATGGAGGAAGTTGTAACCTGGACTCTCGGTCCACCCAGGAGGCCTTTTGGCTTCAGTGTAAATTCAGTCTTTCCTTCATGCTGCCGGCAGACAACCTGCAGCTTCTCTCCTAGTAAAAATATATCCAGCCCAGAAATAATCAGTCACCTTGTCTTTTTGTATTCACACCAGTCACATGATCACAGAGTTAACAGTTGACTCCCTTCTTGACACACCTAAATACCTGGAAACTGATTAAAAAAAACCCCAAACCAGTCAGACTTGATTGTAATCCATTGTTCTTCGCAGGATGTCGGTAGAAACCAAAACCTGACCTGTCACATTTGATTGGGTGCAATAGTTGATGTATATTACTGGATAGGACAGCCCTATAAGTTGCTATGGCTAAGGTTGCTATGTCAGGAAAACCATGCTGTTCTTATCAACTTGGATCTGTCATCAAACTAATGTAAAACCGTTGTCTGATTTTCATTAAATATGGAAATTCCAGTTATGATATATAGAAAAATGTACTATTTCTAAACAGCAATCCATAGGAAGTGTTCGAAATGTGCGTTAAGGAAGTGGTTAGAGCATAGAGCTTGGAATCCTGAGGTTCTGAGTTTGAGTCCCACTCCCACAGACTGCCACTCTGGCTTTCTGAGCAAAGACCCTTAAACCCACAATGCTCCCCAGGCGCCGCACAATGGCGGCCCACTGCTCCCCAAGGGGATTGGTTAAATACAGAGGTAAATTTCTCTAATGTGAATAAAGTAAATAGTTAAGTTATTGTCTTGACTTAACAGATACCTGCAGCAGTCAGTAGTTTTTAACAGCTCAATTTGTCTTGTGTTTAGTGATGGGTTGTTAAAATGTCATTAAGCATTTTGCTGAACTGTTGATACTGCGTTAGTCCTGTGTCACTCAATATTGACACCTTTTGGTCCTTGAAGATCCCTAAAGGCGGCCTTTTGGCTGACAACTAACACCACGACCTGGTCAGATATAGGCCTGATATAATTTAGGTCAGTCAATGTTATATTTTATTATTTCATATGTTCGTTTAAAATAAGATGGAGATAGAAATATGTATTTATTTTGGACTAGTAGTAATAGGCCTACTGTAAGTATGGTTAAATAAGAGAAAGCAGACCACTGAGCACTCCACCACCCTACAGCCCAAACACTGGGATCCTAATGGATTTGTTCATATTTTTTTTTTAAATCATATTTTGGATTTCCTGCATTAGAGATTGGGCTTTGCATGTTTTTTAACCAAATGAGACCACAGCTTTAGCTTAGTGTGACATTCTGCAGTGGGGAGGAAATAGATAAATAGATTTAAACCTTTTAACAAATTAAAAATCAGAGTTTACAGACTGACATTTTAGCAATTCTGTAAAAATAGGTTCAACATTGAAAGATTAATTAAATAATTTGTTGCCAAGATGTCTGGAACCTGTTGTTCTTTGTATCTCTGGATAAAAGAGATGAAGAACAAATGCACAAGTTGTTCGTTTTGTCACCAAGTAGTGATGGGTCCATAAAGCGTTTCAACACACTGGCAAACTATTGATCCTGTGTCACTAAATACTGACACCTGCTGGACATTTGAAATCACTACAGGCAGCCTCCAACAGACTAAACTGATTAATCAATTTTCTGCTATGATGTAATATTTCCTATCTTTTTCAAAATTGAAAATATGTTTATTTTAGTTGCAAATTATAAATATGAACATATAACTGGAAGATGTAAGTGAACATGTTAATAAGGATGTTTGTAGACTAGGATTTATTTATTTAAAATAATAAGTACAGTATGAACAGCAAACTATGAGTCTATTTGGATTCAGATAAGTTGAGTGATAACTGAAACAGGATGACACAAGAAAATTGAAATAAAAACTGAGATCAAAATGTTCCCAAATGGCTGAGACCTTTCTTTTGCCCTGAAGCTGCTCCATATTTTTTAATTAATTTGACAGTACTCTACAAAAGGTGAGAGATTTCTTTGGCAAATGCGTTGCATTGACAGATGCACTAATGAACACAAGGGACATGAGTGGGACTGGTTTTGCTGGACCCATCACCAGGTTAAAGCGCTAGATTATCCCAATAAAAGGACACTAATGCAGCTGCAATATGTTTTTAGATACAATTTTCTTTAAAGGTACAGCATATAACAAATGTGGCTTTTTATTAATAAAAATCAAGTTGGACAACTCTTGATTGTTTTAGATTTTGAACTGGAATGGATATAATCCAACGTGTAACAAATGCAGATAATAAAACCCACTTGTTCAGCAACAAAATGTGCATAATATCAAAAAATGGGTGGATGAAATATTTTAGTGATATCAGTTTTAAGAAATGTTGAATTTTGAAATGGTACATATGTAGGAAAACAGGCCGCAAACGTATCTCCCCTGGATTCAAACATCATAGGATGAGACTAAAAGGAAAGATAAATGATGTCTGATTTAACAATCTGGACACAGTTCCTTGATTTACCTCTCCAGCGCGCCATCCTTCGGAACTTCATGTGGGTCCAGGTGGAGAAGTTCTCCAGAATTTAGGCCGCTAAGCCAACAGGTGAGTAATTCAGTCCACGTCCTGCACAAACATTTGAATGTAATACCAGCCAATGCTGCATATATTTAAAACATAGGCAGCAGTCTTCAGTCACTTTGACCGGTCTTTAAAGTAGTCAGTAAGCTTCTATTTTTATAATTCTAACCTGCATTGTGAGGTTTAATTAAATTCTATTTATTTCTATAATGCCAATTCACAACAAACGTCATATGTATGTAATTTAAGGCGCCTGTGTCTTTTTCTTCATTTATTTTATTGCTTTTTTTTTTTAATCCGAACCCTAAATTCGATGCTTGTTGTTTTAATCAGCATCCGTCATTGTAGTTCTAAGGATGAAGAGAGCACATCCAGCCAGTCACAGTCAGAGAAACAGGACTACACTGAAAAACAGGCCAATCTCCAACATCTATAAACAAAGGTGTTGATGGCTAACCTGACAACAGCCAGATGCATGTCTCGCTCCGCCTAGCGAGACATGCATCTGGCTGTTGTCAGGTTAGTTGATGGCAACACCTATATATATGTATATATACAAATATATAGA